ATGGATGGATGGATGGATGAATGGATGGATGGATGGATAAATATATAGAAGATATATATGATTGATATATAGATGATATAGAATTATAATCAAATAGATGGATTGATTGATTGAATGGTGGTTTGATTGATTGATAGATAAATGAATGAATGAAGAATAAATGAATTATACAATAACATTATAACTAATATTACAATTTCATAATAATTCCTTCCATAAGGCTATTAAAACCGCATTCAAAATTTATTTTTAAATTCACGCCACTCGTCGCACCGACCAATTTAGCAGGCGAAGACGGCTTAAAAGGCTTCAAAATGGCTTCACCATTGTTAGCGGTGCCACCGCCATCTTTCTGTCGGCCATGTTGTGACGTAGACGATGACGAATTAGAGTTCGATGACGTCATGATGTTCAATTGTCGTCGAGATTGGTTCGATGTTTCCTGTTCGTTTTTGTACGGGTTCTCGTCGAAGTATGGTCGGGGTGCTAAATTTGTCCTGAAGGTTCCAAATTTAGAGAGCTTAGCATCTTTTTCTTTGTCTTTCTATCGCCAGGGTATAATAATAATAATAATAATAATAATAATAATAATAATAATAAAGAAATAATAATAATAATCATGACGATGATGATGAAGAAGATGATGATGATAATGCATACTTTCATGACGGTAAGAATAGAGTCGTAATCATCGGCCATATGTTGCGGGTACTTTCCTAAGGTTATACCTACAAATCTTGAAGTAACAAATTTACCAATCAGCCAATCAATCGATCAATCAATCAACCAATCAACTAACTCACCCACTTCCTGATCCAATCGATCAATCAATCAACCAACCAATCAACTAACTCACCCACTTCCTGATCCTAATTTAGACGGGTTAGTGTAAATGTTTTTAAGCCGAAGTCTGTTCTTTTCTGGTTTTTCCTCTTTCACAGGTTTCAACAAAGAACTGAATGCTTCTACTGGCTCGGATAGACATCCATAGTAACTTCCTGAACCTGAACTGATTAGGGAAAGATGATGATGATGATGATGGAAATGATGATAATGATGAGGATGACGATAATGACGACGGAGGTGGAGGTAGAGATGAGGATGAAAATAATTGTATTAATGATGAATGTTTAAAGCAGCACCTATGATAAAATAGTCAGAATACCACGTCGGTTATCATCATCACCATCATAACTATCATCACCACTTTCAGCATCATCGTCGTCATCACCCCCACAATTTACTAACGGTTTCTTTTCACCGCTACTTGGAATGAACGGTCTTTTCTTTGGTCCCGTCTGCTTTTCTTCGACCACAGTAGCAGTGGTAGCAGCTACAGTCGCTGAAGCAGCCGCTCTACTGCTAGTAGCTGATGAAGTAGCTGCTTGGCCTAGCTTAGCGGCTGCTAGCTGAGCCCTAGCTGTTATCTTAGCTGGGTTTGAATATGCCTCGCCTTCCATTATACGCGAAAAATGTTTCTGTTATGTGTATTAAGTTGTTATTACTATTACTACTGCTGCTGCTACTACTACTGCTGCTTTTGACACCATTACTACTGCTGCCACCGCTACTATTACTACTACTACTAATAATAATAATAATTATTATTATTATAAAAGAAGAGTAATAATTATTGTTATAAATATTATAATTACATCGAAGTATCCGTCCTGTGTGGAGGCTTTAGTTTTGGCGCCCTGGACCACCATTTGTTTGCCCTTGCCAGCTGCCTGGTTGAAGTTCAAGGCTGTGTTTTCCATGGTGATTATGGTGAGAGTGATGAAAATTGAAGATGACATCATTGTAATTTGCAATTTAATTTTGTTTAATTTTGTTATTGTAATTTAGCGTAATGAATGTCGTCATTATCGTCGTCATCGTCGTCATCATCACAATCATCTTTATCCTTCTTATCGTCACTATATCATTACCTCTATTATCTTTGTATTCATCGCCAATTGATATATATCCTAATTCCTTGAATATCCCCAATCTATTCATGTCATTTTTCTGATAGAAGTTATTATTATCATTCGCCATATTATTAGTAGTAGCAGTATTATCAGCCATTGATACTGCTGGTAGTCGTAGTCGTAGCAGCAGCAGCAGTAGCAGTAGTAGTAGTAGCAGCAGGAGTAGTAGCAGCAGCAAGAGTAGTAGCAGCAGGAGTAGTAGTGGAAGTGGTTGATTTGTAGCAGCTGTAGAAATTGTAGTTGAAAATATGTAAATAGCAAAAATATTAATTGCCCTATTCTAGCGATATATATATATACACACACACACACACATACACAAACATTCACAGATACAAACACACACGCAAACGTACTGACATACAAAAATGGATACAATCATTATTACTATGACAACTGTAAAGTTTGCATTTCGGCTGCATTTTTAAGTAATTTAAACAGTTTTTTGTTAATAATCTGAGAATCTATGCGTCTATTTATAATAACATTTCTACCATTATTATTTAAAAGGACTTATTAATATTCTATTATATCATTGCTTGATTTTTTTTAACCATTTATTTTCTGATTTTATGTCTATGTTTGTTTATATAGCGATAATACACTTTGGTGTACTTTTTAAATTTTTATAACGGTTTTTATTCACCGCATAACAAATGGCGATTTTAGAATATGTTAAAATATAATTAATTAATTAATAATTTAAAAATTTGATTAATCTTTCAATTAATTTTTATAAATAACGAATTATTACTTAACGTTTTTAGAAATGATTGTAAAAATAATCTGTAGTAAAAAAAGTAAACTAATAAATAATAATAAAAATAAATTGAATCATTAAATGGCGGAAACGGCCGAGTGCGAATTGAAAACAGGAGATGGGGACAAAGCTTCCGGCGACGATGACAACGATGACGCCATTGTTCATAGAATAAAAATTCATCATGTTAGGCAACATTCAAATTGGGATTGTGGGCTGGCCTGCGTCCAGATGATTCTAAAGTTAGGGTGTTTTTTTGATATTAGTGAATTAGGCAATTTACTACTAATAAATTATGTTAATTTCTATCAGGACTTATGATAAAAACATTGACAATTTCAAAAGTGTTTGTGTCAGGCTTAATTTGAAAACAAGGTTATATATATATAATAATTTTATTATTAATAAATATAAATAAAAGTATTAATTTTTATTATTATTTATATTATTATTATTATTTTCAGTATTTGGACAATAGATCTAGCCTACATATTACAGTATTACCACATAGCCCACAAATTCATGACAATCACACTAGGAGTTGATGAGGCCTATTCCAAAAAGGTGTTTCATTCTTTCTTTCATTTATTCTTTTTTTCATTCATTCATTCATTCTTTAGTTTATTCATTTATCTGCTCAATCAATCATGATTTGTCAGTGAATAAATAATTGATGAATGAATGGATAAATGCATTGATGAATGAATGGGTGAATCATTTGTTTATTCAATCAATCAATCATTCATCCGTTTATTTCATATTTTTATTCATCAATTCATTGAAAGTCATTCTACAAAGACAACTATGATGAAGATTCAGCTAGAGTTGAGGCAATGTTTAACAATGCTGGTGAAGCTGGTGTAAATATCACTGAGTGGTTAATTAATTAATTCATTCATTCAACTAATCATTCATTTTTCATTCATTCTTTCATTCAATCAATCATTTTTTTCATTCATTCATTCACATAATCATGGATATCCTTTCTCATGAACTTAATTCAACCAATATCATCTAAATTGTCATTTTAATGATTATTATCATCATCATCATAATTATTATTATGATTATTATAATTATAATTGTTTTAGTTCTGTGGGCATGGATGAAATAGTTAAACATTTGAAATCAAACCGACCAATCATAGTCCTGATAGATTGGAACATTGTTAAATGGACCAGCAGCTTGCCTTTAAAGGTCATTATTATTTCCATCTTTTCATATTTTTTCATTATTATTTACTTATAATAAAAATAATTATTATATTTATGATGTAGTGATAATAATAATAATAATAAAAATAATTTTGTTCTACCAAAAATTTAGTGCCAATGCTTTGGAAATGTTATGAAGAAAGTCACATCCTATCAGGGTAGCTATCATTATTCATGATTTTATTATTATTATTATAGTTATTATTCATGATGATTATTATTATTATGATTATTATTATGACGTGAATGATGATTTCAGGTCACTACATCCTTTTAAATGGCTACAACGAAAAGAAGAAATCCATCTATTACCACAACCCTGAAAAATCTGACGGTCAGTCGTCATCATCATCGCCACTACCACCACCATCATCGTCGTCGTCGTCGTCGTCCTAATTTGCATTCATCATCATTGCTACAAACATCATCATCATCATAACCGTCACCACCGTTATAATCATTATCACAATCACCATCATCATCATCACTACCATGAATGAAGTAGTACACAATATACGCTTGGATGTATTGGAAAAGGCAAGAAAGGCCCATGGCACAGATGAAGACATCATCTTCATAATGAGTGAATTAACATGATGACGCACACACACACACACACACACACATACGTACATACATATATACATACATACATACATACATACATACATACATACATACATACACATTGACAAATATATATTTAAATGTATGTACACATATATTTTAAATCAGTTGTATAAATCTACATTACCATTTTATATAATTAAGCAAATAAATAAATTTATATAGACCGTTTTTATTTATTTTTTACTAGTTAATTTTATTATTTTTTATTATTTTTTTAAAAATCCACACAATAAAAATAATTAAATGTTTTTGTTATCAATTGACGTTTCTTTGTTGATGAGGTCGGAGAATCCTAATTTTCTGAAATCTTCTTTCTTCATTAAATCACTTTTTCCAAAAAAAACTAATAAAAATTTAATTTGTTGGCAAAAAAGTTATTTAATTTTTATGTTTTGCCTATGTTTATTTTAAAGTAAATTTAATAATTATTATGAAAAATATGAAAAATTCAATACTAAACAACATTTTTTGGTGTTATATTCTAACTCTAATAAAAAAATTCACTCAAAAAATTAGGAATAATATATATAAGGAATAATCACAATATAAATAATAATAATAATTATTTTAATTATTATATTTCATTGTAAAAAATAATTTATTCATTAATAAAAATTCAATTTTTACTGGTTCATTCTGCATTCTAGGTAATCTTTCGATTGAACTCTGCACTTTGAGTTAGCATTGTCATTTGATCTCAGGCACTTGACATATTTTACCATGAATTCTTTACATTCTCCTGATAATAAATTAGTGCAGCAAATTAGTGAAAAATAATTTAATTTAATATTAATTTCAATTATTTATCTTGGAATAGACATGCGTTTAAGACAAGTAGTTATATTGATTATTGTACTACAATCTATCTTAGATTTTCAATTAAAATTAAAATTTTAGATTTTTATTAAAAATTGAAATTGAAACCTTCATGATCCAGTGGAAAGCTTCCTTTATCAGGCGGTTTGACGTCTTTAAAAGTTTTTTGAAAATTCATGACGGACATTTTGAAGTTTTCAAAACTTTAATTTAAACCAAATAAAACGACGAAAAGCTACGGAAAACGGGTTTTACACCGTGACTGCAAAAAAAGTTAACTTTTAAATTTTGTAATTTAAAATTTAAACTGAGTTTAAAAGATAATTGAAGTTTGAAATTTCAGCTACGATGATATTTATTTATTACCGTCCGATTGTTTCAATATATTATTCAAATTAATTAAATTAATAATAAAATAATTATTTGTATTAATTAAGTAAGTCAAAAAGTTAAATTTTCAATCAAATAGACATTTATTATGCTACATTTAGTCGTTACCTTTAAATTGTGTTGTGTTTTTTTTTAAATATAGAAGGATTTCATCTGAGGAAGATTTTAAATTTAAATTTTCTCTAAAAAAGGTTAGGAATTAGTGCATTTGATTTTGATTTTATTTCAATGTTTTATTATTAAATTGGGTTATTTTATAAAAATCAAGTTTTGGAATTTGTTATAAACGGAGATTTAATTGAAAAATATTGGATTGGCCAATTTTTTATTTTTATTATATGATGTGTTTCATTTACTTATGTTATATTATTTATTTCAAATAAATATTTTTCTAAAAAGAATGTTAAATATTCAAGATTATTATTTTGATAGATCTCAAAAAAAAAATCAATGAAAGTTAAATTAGGTTTTTGTCATGTTACATGTACAATAGAAATCTAAATTTTTTTAAACTTTAAAAAATCTTATTTCCAATGCAATTTTGTCCAATTTTTATTAATTTTGTTAATTTTTCAGATTTTTCTTAAATATTAACTTATAAAATTTTATTTAATTAAAAATTATTAAATAAATTTTCTTTATTTGTTTTCAGGATAAAAAAGATCAATAATAATAATTAAAATGGCCATGCAAATCAACAGAAACTTGTCACATCAACAACACCAACACGATCACACCAATAGCACATCAAGCCCCACTCCTGACTCACTAATTAATGACATCACACTGCAGCCAATAGCAACGCAGATATTTTTAGAAACATCAGCTGCCAGAGCTATTGCTGGAATGTTCGCCGTCACTGCTATTATCATAACTTGCATACAGGTTATTTAATTATTTTATTATTTAATTTTTTCAAATTTAAACTTTTGAAAACCATCGAATCAATCAATAATCCAATCAACAAGGCAAACAATGATGTTGATGATGATGTTGATGATGATGTTTATGTATCAATAGTTAATGATCAGTATTAAATGAACAGACATCTAATTTTAGTCATTTCCCTCAGTCCATCAACTTTCCCCAGTTCCTAATTTCATACCTGATTACCTAATTTCATTCCTGATTACCTAATTCATCCCCAATGACCGTAATCTCTAATCTCACCCAGATATACAACCATCTTCGATACTACGCCTGCCCAAACGAACAGAGGTGGATCGTTCGGATACTGTTCATAGCCCCCATATATTCTATCGACTCCTGGTTCGGCCTGATGTTCTTTAAGAATGACTACTACATCTACTTCAACGCTTTCAGAGATTGCTATGAGGGTTGGCTTGATGATGATGTTGTTGTTGATCATGATGATGATGGTGATGACGTCAGTGGCGATGATTATAGTCACGTTAATGAATATTTTTTTAATTATTTCGTCTGAAACAGCATTCGTCATATATAATTTTCTGAGTCTTTGTTACGAGTACCTTGGCGGCGAGGGTCACATTATGGCCGAGCTTCAAGGAAAGAGTATCAGGTTTGTGATTGGTCCGCTGATTGAATAACTAGTTTGTGATTTGTCGATTGATTGCATAATTGGTTTGTGATTGGTCCGTTAATTGATTGATTGATTGATACATTGATTGGTTGACTGCTGATTGGCTGGTTGATTTGTTGGTTGGCTGGCCGTTAGGTTGATAATTAAAGAAAATCATACATTACAAAATTTCTCATTTGTATTACTCCTACATCAGCAAAAAAGTAGAGTGAATTAATCCTAAGTAGATTATGATATTATACTAGATACTTGATACTCGATACGCTCAGTTATTTGCCTTGAAGCATATTTAAGAAGAAAGATTAAGGAGTGTTAGAAGCAGTTTTTCATTGACTACATTGTAAATGACTGTGAAGATATTCAGTGTGATTAAATTTGTTTCTAGCTACTTAATAATACGGATTCTTCTCCTTCTTCTTCTCCTTCTCCTTCTTCTTCTTATTATTATTATTATCATTATTATTATTATTTTTCTTCATCTTATAGTTCCAGCTGGTTGCATGCAACATGCTGCTTGGCTGGCCGACAATATACTATCACGTTTTTGAGGTTTTGCAAACAGGTTTGTCTGCTCTTTCATTCTTTCTTTCGTTCGTTCGTTTGTACATTCATTTAAACATTTATTCCTTCATTCATTCATTCACTTCTTCTTCATACCTTCATCTGTGTCTTTGTTTTAGATTTTCAAAAATTCTTCAGCCGTACACACCACTGTAGTTGATTAAATTTTTACATATTCGTTCAGTTCATCCGTCCATTTCTTCATTCATTCATTCGTTCATTCATTTATTTATTCATTCATTCATTCCTTTATTCCATCCATCCATCCACTAAAATAGGCCACTCTGCAGTTCTGCGTAGTGAAGCCAGTTGTGGCCATGGCGATCATCATACTCCACCCGCTGGGATATTATGAAGATGGCGATTTCAGGTAACAATAATTAAATAATAATTATAATAATTATGATAATGATTATAATAATTAGGATAATAAGGATAATAATTATAATTAATTATAATTAATTATAATTCACTAACTGCAGTGCGAAAGGTAGCTACCTATACATAACGATAATCAACAATGTCAGCGTTAGTTTGGCCCTCTATGCCCTATTCCTCTTTTTCTCCTCGACCAATCAGCTTCTTAGATCGCATGACCCACTTTTGAAATTTGTCGCCGTCAAATCTATCATCTTTCTGTCGTTTTGGCAAGGTCGGCAGGGTCTTTGGTTGGTTGGTTGGCTGGCTGGTTGGTTGGTTGGTTGGCTGGTTGGTTGGTTGGTTGGCTGGTTGGTTGATTGGTTGGTTGTTTGTTTGATAGTTTGGGATTGATTGATATTGGTGTTGTTGTAGTATCTATTATTTGAGTAATTCAAGTTCTTTTTATGATTCACATATGCAAAACACACACACGTACACGCGCGCGCGCGCGCCTGAAAATTACAAAGGAGTGCTACTGGCAATCCTCGAGATGGTGGGAGTGATAAGTGCAGTGCGTTTGTCGACGGATTCCAGCATCGCTGTCGGGACAGTGGCCGCCGGCTATCAGAACTTCCTCATCTGCGTGGAGATGTTTTTGGCGGCCATCCTCCTGAGGTTCGCCTTCCCACACGCCACGTACAAGAAGGAGAGTAGGAGGTTGGTCGGGGCGAGTTTGAAGATGATGGTGACGATTGGTGGAACGAATGTTGATTACGTCATTGCCAATCGTTGTTGAATGCCTCTGTCTACAATATTATATCATCATCAGCGTCGTGAATGACGTCACCGACTCAAAAAATTCTAACAATACTGTCAACCCAAAACATCAACAACAACAACAACAACAACAGCAGTTTTGACAACACGAAATCCCTTGTGAATGCAAACAATCACGGAGGTGCCAGCAGCATGTTTGGCCTGTGCTGTGGGGGATCCAGAGGGATCTGCCGGGTCGGCAGTGGGGGTAGCGGATTAGGGGGCGGCGGAGGGGGCACGAGTAAGGAAGGGGCCTTGAGTATTGGCCGCAGGACCCTGCAGAGCATTTCATCAAATCTGAAGGAGACGATGAACCCGCGGGACATCGTAGTGGATGCCCTGCACAACTTCCACCCCAACTACCAGCACTACGTACAACATTCCACAACCGCCCAACCGATGACGTCATCGATGACGTCAAAAAATTTGACGGCGAAAAACAGCAGCAGCAGCAGCATATACAAAGGTAGCAACAACACAAGCAACAAAAAATACAACAACGACTATGATGATGATAACGGTAGTAACATAGGTAGCAACAGTAACAACGTGAACTCGTCTTCATCCAATCAGAGCGAGCGCAAACGTCAGCAACATCCCAAACGCAACAACAACAACAACAACTATCATCATCATAATCACCAAAAACTCGTAGACGACGACTACTACTATGAAGACGACAATGATTTCAGACAGTCTGGCTTCGAATCAGACGGCGGGAACAGTCTATACGCCTGTCTGGTCGAGCCGTCTGACCCAAACAACAACCTCAGTGGTTTCGTGTCAGATGGCAATTACGACCATGGCAACAACAGCAGTAATAGTGGTTGCGTTGATTATGACGCTACTACAGCTACTACTACAGTTACTACTGCAGCTACTACTACTACTTCTACTACTTCTACTATTAGCAAGGGTAACAACAACAACAACAATAATAATAATAATAATAAAAAGTCGTCATCGTCATTTTTCCATAACCCAATCAGAAAGAAGGCATTTAAAAGTTTGAAAGATGAAGAAGAGAGTTATGATTATGATCATCTTAATCGTCATCATCATCATCCTGGCGGTCGTAGTAGTAGTAGTAGCGTCAACAGCGGCCGAGGGAAAGGTGGCGCGAAAAATAATTTCGGCGGGAAAAAATTTAAAGATAGCGGTTTCTATGTTGACTGCGACGAGGATGATGATGATGATGATGTTCTCATTGTGCCTGCTGGTGATGATAATGATGATGACGGGCCGTCTGCTTCCAAAGCCTGTCTGTATGATAAGTGGTGAGTGATGATGGTGATGGTAATGATGATGATGATGATGATGATGATAATAACGATGTTGTTGATGATGATGATAGGATATGATGATTATGATGATGATGTTAAACTTGTTAGCTCATGAATATTAATTAGCTCATTAATATTAATTTCAATACTTGCAGTGTATCCTATAACAGATCGGTCAACATGAGCAAGAATAATAATAATAATAATGTTAATAGCAAAAATAACAACAACAACAACAACAACAATAATAATAATAATAATAATAATAGTAATAATAATAATAATATGAATAATAATAATAAGAGGATAATTATCGCCGATACTAACAATGAGAAAGAGTCGTTATTATTTTCCGACGATATCGCCTGATTGAATGAATGAATGGATGATGGATGGATGGATGAATGACCGGACGAATTGATTAATGCATAAATTAATGAACAATGTAAGTTATGAATGAGTGTATGAATGTATAGATAGATAAGTAGATGAATGAATGAATGGATTAATAAATGAATGAATGGATGGATGGATGAATGAATGAATGAATGATTGATTGATTGAATTGTTTTCACACAAGTAACTAAAAAATATCCTTATCAAATCATTATCTGAAAGTGAAAATGACCGTTATGTAAATTGAAATAAAACAGTTTAATCTAATCAATTAAACAATTACATCTGATTGTAATTAGTAGATCATATTTATTAGTAATTTTAAGTAAAACTATATTATAATTATAACGATAAGTTCATCATGGGTTTTGTTTGTTTAAATGCTTTTTTTTACAATATTTTCAACATAAAATGTAACCTTGCATATTTTTAAGGAATTATTCTTCCAGTTAGTCATTCTTTCGTTCATTTATTCGTTCTTTGTTTTTTCCTCTCTCTCTCTCTCTCTCTCTCTCTCTCTCTTCTTTCTCTTTTTCATTTTTCTTTCTCTTTCTCTCCTTTTCTCTCTCTCTTTCTCTCTCTCTCCGACACCTCCAATTTTTTTACACTCTAATGCAGTTTTTTCTTTAAATTTTCGATTTTTGTTCCTTTCCTTTCTTCTGTTCTTTCTTACTTGCATTTTAGTAATTTATTTTATATTATGTTATCGTTAGATCATTGTATACACCATACAAACATACATACATACAAACAAACAAACAAACCAACAATTAAACAAACAAACATACAAACAAACAAACAAACAAACATACGTACGTACAAACAAACATACATACATACATATATCTGTTTGTTTTATATACTATATTGTTTAGTCAGTGTTTTATTTTAAGCATTACATACGTGGTGTAAAAAATATACAATGTATATATATATATATATATATATATATATATATAATCACTACTATCACCATCAGGGGATTTGGTTTACCCATACAATCGCCATAAACGTCATCACCTAGTCGTGTCATCTATAGTCATTACACTTTTTCCATATTTTGCATGTATTAAGTTTTTCTCCGTTAGTGTACTATATCAGATATATCATTTGAACATTCATTCTTTCATTTGTTCGTTCGTTCGTTCATTTATTCATTCGTTCGTTCGTTCATTTATTTATTTATTCGTTCGTTCATTCATTTATTCGTTCGTTCGTTCGTTCATTCATTCATTTACTCTTCTATCGATTTTTTCAATCATATCAAATACATTTTTGTTGTTGTCTATATTACATATTGTCAGTAATATCACTATTCTATATATATATATATATATATATATATATATATATATATATATATATATATACAAACATTTATCTTTGTTGTGTTTATTTAGTATTATATGCTTATCATGATATTATATAATCAAAATATAAACATGTATATATATATATACATTATACAAAAACCGGTTTTTTAAGACGAGTAAATTTTTGTTATTAGTATCAGATTTTATGATTTTATTAGTGTTTTTCAAATCTGTAATCATCATTATAATTACACACACAAACACACACAAACACACACACAAACACACACAAACACACACACAAACACACACACATACATACATACGCACAAACATATATATAAATATATGTATCACACTTGTTAAATTTTGGGAAATTCCAACAGCAGTAATTCACATTTAAGATATGTTTTTTTTCATTCGTTCTTTTCTTTCCTTCATTAATTAATTAATTAATTAATTAATTCATTAATTCATTTGTTCGTTTCAATCGTTATTACTAAAATTATTATTGTTATTTTTTATTATGATGATTAAGATTTTTAATGAACGAATAAATAAATAAATCAATCAGTCAATAAGTCATTCAAAAATCGGTGTTCATGTTTTTGTTGGCATCTAAAGTTATTTTTATTAAACACCTAAGATTCAATAAATGACTCGACGAATATGATTAGTTTACATTTACGTTTTGTGTGTGCGTGCGTATGTGTGTATGTGTGTGTATTTTGTTTGTGTGTTTTGTCTGTTTGTGTGTGTGTGTGTGGATGTGTCTAAAATCTAAAGAGCGAGAGGAGAGAAAAGGAGAGTGACAGAAGAGGGAGAGAAAAGAGAGAGAGAGAGAGAGAGAGAGAGTAAAGAATAAAAAAGAGAAATAGCGAAAGAATAGATAAACAAAAACACACACACACACACACACATAGAAAGAGAAAGAGAGATTATGATGGTGGTTATGATGAAACGATAAAGAATCCACTTATCCAATTATATATACCTACATATATATAATATGCTGGTAAAAGACCATAATTAATGCAGTAATTTATGAAATCTACTTAAATCTTTTTTTTATAACATTTCTCAATATTTCTAACCAAATTCTTGTCATATTTATTTTATTAAAGTTGGAATCTAACTACAATTTTTCCAACGGACTTCCAATTCATTCTCGCCTGTATAGGACCTATTTCGAAATTTTCAATCATCTTCAGTACTCGTTACAGCTTATATAGAGAATTCGTACAACCCAGTACTCGTTGTAGTTTGTAATGGGGATTTGTATAACCCAGGCCGTTGTTCCTGTGATTATACATTTATCGTGATTATTGTCTCTGTTAATTTTACTGTCTTCTTTATTAATTGATATAATTTCATTGTTCCGACTAGTCACTTTTGTCGGTGTTGCATTCTTCAGTGTCTTCGTCGGTTCCATTGGTGTTGTTAGTGTTGTTCTTATCGGCAGTGTTGTTGAAATCTTTTGTTGAAATCTTTTGTTGTTTTGTGTATCAGGTGGTTGTTTTATGTCGATAAGAATGGCTTCGACTAATTTCAGATGGGAATGGCTAGAATTAGAGTATTTTTTTCACAGTCTTGGCGTTGCTGTCTAGGATTTCTCTTGTAATTTCAATATTGTGTGTGTGTGTGTGTGTGTTCTTCTTAGTGTGTTTTTATAGAACCTTCTCTTTGTCTAGTTAGCAAGGATGTAGCTAGTTACTACTCCGATATGGGAAACATTCTGACGTGCACAAACCGTCAAGGGACATGTAAATTTATATATCAGATGGTTACGTTAAATATATATATATAGGATACATACATACATATGATATATATATATATATATATATATACATTATACAAATATACATATGTATCATATGTATGTATCCTATATATATGTCATTCATATTACTTAAGTGCCACTTGGTTTTGATTTTGAAATGAACGATTAGAAGAAAAAGAAGGAGAACAATATCAATAATAATTGATAATAATAATTGATAATAATAATTGATAATAATAATAATAATTATTGTTTTTATTATTTTCGATAATAATATTTCGAGAATTCAATGCCGGCCTACCTTCAAAATGAATATAAATAATGATACTAGTAGAGAGTTGTCATTAAGGAAAACATTACATCTGAAGTGTCAAAAGTATTATTTATTATATTTATATACTATTATTGTTATTATTATTTGTTGTTATTATTATTATTGTGTATTAAATTATTTAAATAGTTTTAGGTATAGAGAGAGAGAGAGAGAGAGAGAGAGAGAGAGAGAGAGAGAGAGAGAGAGAGTGAGAGAAATACAAAATTCATTAATTCGTGATCGGTGATATATTAACGTTAATGTCATCATTTCATCATTACACCTGCCTTCATCGTTAACAGCAGCAACAACAACATCAGTAACAACAACAACATCATCATCAGTAGCAACATCATCATCAATAACGACAACAACAACAACAACTACATCATCATTATCATTGCTAGCGACATCATCACCGCAATGTCTACATCAAACTCCTCGCCAGTCTACTGGCCACCAACAATACCACACCAGCAGCAGCAAACATCATCATCAGCATTACCTTACTCGCCACGGCAATCATCATCATTACCAGCTTACTCACAATTATCACCGGCATCTCAAGGTTGGAGGGCGAGTTTTAGCTGTAAAAACTCGAATTGCGCGATCATTTTCGCGTGCGCCGGCATATTTTTCATCGTCGCTGGCGTCATTTTGGTCGCCATCGGATTCGCCACAAGGCCCACTAACGTTTTTGATACTGGAAATCTGTAAGTGGTAGTTGTGGCTGTGGCGATTATGTGGTAGTTGTAGCTGTGGTGATTTTGTGGTAGTTGTAGCTGTGGTGATTTTGTGGTAGTTGTAGCTGTGGTGATTTTGTGGTAGTTGTAGTTGTGGCGATTTTGTGGTAGTTGTAGCTGTGGTGATTTTGTGGTAGTTGTAGTTGTGGTGATTTTGTGGTAGTTGTAGCTGTGATAATTATGTGGTAGTTGTAGTTGTGGCGATTATGTGGTAGTTGTAGTTGTGGTGATTTTGTGGTAGTTGTAGCTCTGGTGATTTTGTTATTGTTATTGTTGGGATAGTGATTGTTATGGCATTGGTTCGAAAATGGTGATGATGATGATGATGACGGTTCGAAGGGTGATGATGGTGATGATGATGGCGGTGATGATGCAGATGATGATTAAGAAGGAAATGATTTGAATGTAGTTGGCGTTGTTGGGGATTAAAATGAAATCGGAAAAACAAAACACAGCCACTACAACAACAACAATAAAATACAACACCATTATAAAATAACACTACAATTTCAATTCTTTGTTACCAAAGATTTCTAAGAGTAACGGGCTTTGCTATGATTGGCTGCGGACTACTTCCGCTTTCTCTATCAGGATTATTCTGGACTTTTTATCACACGTACAAAAAGACTGGACATCTGCCTGGGCAGTATAAGGTTCGAAATAATTTACCACTACTACCACTATTACTAATACTAATATTACTACTACTACTACTACCACTACTATTATCACACTACTACTACTACTACAACTACTACTACTACTACTACTACAACTATTACTACAACTACTACTACTACCACCACCACTACTACTACCACTATTACTACTACTACTAAATTGATAATAATAATAACAAAAACAGAATCACAAAACCAATGATGTGCCTGATTTTCCGTTCATCCTACCTCTGACTTTGGATAAACCAATCTGCAACAATTACGATGTGTTAAGTCGCCACAACAACAACAACAACAATAATAATAATAATAATAATAATAATAATTATGACGGCGATGAAGAAGACGAGGACGATGATGATGAAGTGTTGGTTCTCAGTAGCGTTACCAAAAATCAAATATACAAACCGATAGACAACAACGACAACAACAAAAACAGCAACAACAACAACAGCAACAACAACAACAGCAATAATAATAATAATAGAAATAATAATAACAGTTATAATGCTGTTACTACAGCTGCCGCAACTAACAACATCTTCGCATCTCCATCCCCAGCAAGTAACTCAACCAACAACACATTGCTATCAAGCAATAAAAATCCTAACACAACACTAATCAACAAACTACAAAGCAAAAGACTCAGTTTAAGCAGCTTATTCAGCCATGACAGTCTAAAAATACCCTTCCCGCAAACGCAAGCTCCTAATTGGCCGCAGCTGCTACTAGCTAGGCATCAGCAACGACAGCTGTTGCATGAGCCACCCACGCGTCATTCAATGTTTGAAAAATCCATGCTTGACCAGTACATCGAGCAGCAGGAATACCACCAGCAGATGACAATTCAGCAACAGCAGCTGAAATCGCAGGTGAAACAGCAGCTAAAATTAGCTAAGCTGCAGCGGCGTGAAGAGTCGTTGCAGCGACTACAGCTGCGTCAGTATGAACTTGAGAGACTGCAGAGGTTTGATGGGGAAAGAAGGCCATCAATTTTGAAAAATTTGACAGTAGATGACGTCGATGAAAGTGATACTGGTGAACGTGGTAGCGGTAGTAGTGGTGGTGGGGAGATTTTGAGGATTCATTCTGTCGATCGGTACTATCGTGCAGCCAACAAACTGCAAACTTCTCAGAAAACAACTACAAACAACAACAACAATATAAGCAAACGCAACAGCACCAGTAGTAGCAATAGCCATTACAACGACAACGTAAACATCACCAACAAACACAACATGAACAACAAAAACGTAACCAACAAGAACAACAACAAAAACAACAACAATAATAATAGTAATAAAGCAAGTGAAGTAAAAAATGCCAACTCTACAAAAACTAAAATAGCAGCAGCAGCAGCAAGCACAACTACTGAAGCTGCTGCTACTGCCACAGTTAACAAATACAAAATTATTGACATACAAGAAGATGACGACGACGACGACGATGAAGAAGAAGACGAAGACGAAGAAGATGATGACGACGGTGATGTCGAAGACGATTTTTCTGATATTCAAAAATCAGAGCTAAAAATTAAAAAGAAATTCACGCACACGCAACGTGACCGTCAGAAACAGTACCAGAGGTCTCCCCAAAGGAAAGTATCATTTCACGATGACGTCCAGACAGTCATACTTACTAATAACTTGGACCCCATTAAGAAAAATCAAAATAGGCATACGGTTGGAAGCGGCTGTAATAACCTTAAGAGAACCGAAAGCGTGAAACCGCTCGGTCGTCATTCAACTCTGGATTGATTTAAGGATTGATTTTTCACCTTTTATAATTTTTTTATTTAAATTAATTGAAATTTTGCTAACTTTAATAATTATTACGAACAATATATACATATATATATATAATAACTTTTTAATGTTTTAAATCGTTGAAAATCAATCAAAGCTAATTTATATGTCATTTTTGATGAGATAAACCCGTGATAAACTATTGATTTGGTTAACTATTTAGCGTTTAATTACAATTTGAATGGCAAAAAAGTAAAAATTATGAAATAAATATTAAAAGTTTGCGTTTCGTATTTAGTGTTTTCAATAATATTTTTTGTTTTCCTGTTTGAGTTCCGTCCATTTAAATTTAAAATTTAAATTTAAAATTTAAAAAACAGGGTAGAGCCCGGGCTGAAAATAACTAATTTAATAATCTTTTTCTCCACAATTTTCATATTCAAATCTTATTTAATTGCTTAAATATTAATTAATGATTACCTAATTAATTTTTAATTATTTCAATTAAAGAACAATTGATTGAATTTTCATATGAAAAATGTATTACTTATTATAAAAAATGGCTTGTAGGCAAGACCCGATAACGAAAAGAATTTATTTAATGGCTACCAGAGCCAAAATTCCGACTCAAGAGTTTAAAAAATCGCTCGTGTATGAATTAAATTTATATAAAATTTATATTCTATATTATATTATTTATTATATTTCACATTTTTACTATTTTTTAAAAAGTTATTTTATGTTGTTATTATGTCAATTATGAGCAGGAGTTGCAACATACAACCAAATGTTCCTCTGCACGGAGAGCTTGCGTGCAAACCACAGGCCGTTTTAAAGTTTGAGGTCTGTCTGGCTGGTTGGTTGATTGATTGATTGATTGATTAGTTGGTTGATTAGCTAATTGATTAGCTGGTTGATTGATTAATTGACTGATTAGTTCATTGATTGGTTGGTTGATTGGTAGATTGCTTGGTTGATTGATGATTGATTGCCACAAGCAGTTTGGAAACATGAGATTTCAGTTTGAAGATTTTATTTTTCGCATTTTTTGATTGATTAAATTGTTAATTGGATAATTGAGGATTGAATTATTGATTGATTGATTAAATTGATAATTGATTAATTAATTGAATCAGCCTCTACCACCAATCCAACGCTACCACGACCGCTCTTGCGCCACCCAACGTCAACGTGAAGCCGAAAAACGGGCCCTGGACGCACGTAAGAAACGAAGGTTGTACCGTGGGCCCCTACCACCCATTGAAAGTAGGTCGTTAGTCACGCCCCCTGCACTAGATGGCAGACTACATCAGAAGGTTTGAATTGGTTTGGGGGCGGTTTGATTGGCTGGTTCGTTGGGTGGATTGAAATTTGATTAGATGGCTGGCTGGTTAGTTAGTTCGTTTGTAGAGTGAAATGTAACGAATGGCTGGTCAATTTGATACGTAATTATTGGCTGACTAACGGATTATGATTGGTTGGTTGACGGAATATGATTGGTTGGTTTATGGATGGAATACGATTGGCTGGTTGACGGAATATCCATTGACTATTCAGGTGCAAACGGAGATGTACCTGGAGGAATTGAAAGACTTTCGAGAAGAGAGGAACAATTATTGCCAGACGGATCTATTTATAGACAGACCACCAACTCCATACTTCGTGCCAGAAAAAATTGGCCTCGACAAAGAGACCCAAATCTACGATGGGGAAGTTGGTACCTCGTGGATGCAATTGTTTGATGTTACGATTGGTTATAGTTCAATATTTGTGATGATGTCGTTCTTTCATTTTCAAACTAACTTACACACACTCACTCAACTTAACTTGCACACGTACACACACACACACACACCACACACACACACACACACACACACGTACTTATACTTACATATACACTCACGTACACACATACACACACACACACAGACACACACATAAACACCCACCAAACAGTTATTCGATTTTGACATCGAGGTTTTACCAGTGTTAGAAGTGCTGGTAGGTAAAGTTGTGGAACAGGCTCTACTCGAGGTCCAGGAAGAAGAGGAGCTGGCCGCCCTCAAGGAACAGCAAAGGATTTTTGAAGAACTCCGGAATGCCGATTTTGAAGAGCAGCAGCGATTGGAGGAACAAGAAAGGAGGATTAAACAGGAAAAGGTTTGCTGTCATTTGATTGGCTGGCTGGTGCTATTTGATTGGTTGGCAGGTACGATTCGATTGGTTGAACAAACACAAAATAAAAACCTGAAAATTCACTCATTTGTTTCAATTTTATTCACGCATTCAATCACCACTCATTCATTCATTCATTCATTCATTCATTCATTCATTCATTCATTCATTCATTCATTCATTCATTCATTCATTCATTCATTCACATGTTTAAAAAAACGTAAAAAAGATGGAAAGATTGAGACAAGAGATAAGCAGGCAGAAGAGGGCGAAACAGTTGGAGAAGAAAATCAGCGCCATAGCCTATTCGAAGGGGTACATCGGGAACCTAATATCCGGGACGTTTGGGGATTTGATATCCGGGAAATATTTTTACGACGATAAGGAAAAAGGTGCTTCCTGTGTCTCTTTGATCTCTATATTCTGTTTGTTCATCAAATGATTCGTTCACTCGTTTGGTTTGTTACTCGTTCGTTCGTTCAACCGTTCTCTTTCTCGCTTTTCTATTCATTCATCTGACTGTTTGTTCATAACATTCACTCGTTCTTTTACTCATTCTTCTGATCATAAATTTATTCATTCGTTCGTTCGTTCATTCTTTCGTCATTATCTCATTCGTCCAGAGGTTTATTTTTTCATTCATTGATCATGCACTCATTCATTCACTCATTCATTCACTCATTCATTCTGTCATTTATTTCCCGCCAAAAGATATCGAATTAAACTTTTGGGAGAGCCTACTGAATGAGACATCCCAGAATATAAAGAGCAATGTGCTTGGGAGACGCCTATTGGACAAGATCTTGAGGGAAGTGGTCAGCTTCCGGTTCGAGGTCTTCAGCCTCATCAACTCGTCCAATTTTGATAAGGAAGAAGCCGGTTGGTGGTTCGTTAGTTGTTGATTGGTTGGTTGATTGATTGGTTGGTTGGTTGGTTGATTGATTGATGATTGATTGATTGGTTGGTTGGTTGATTGATTGATTTGATTGATTTGATTGTTTGATTTAGAGAAATCCATTAAATATAAACGCCTTCACTTTTTAACGAATTTATATACTTTTATAATAAAAAACAATACAGCATAGTAAAGAATCAACTAATCAGTCAACATTTATTATTATTATTATTATTCATCTTATTCATGACGTCATCTAACTAACAAAAACAAATAAACAAATTGGTAAATTAGCAAGTTATTCCGTCTGCAATATCAATAAAATAGCTACCTCTTATTCGTATTAGCCTATAATATTATGAATAAATAAATATTAATTATAACTTGTGTTATAATTATCATAACTATAATAATAATATAATTAGAATAATTATAACAAATTATGGTGCATAATTACCGTTCGCTCGATGCCCATGCTTTTTGTGCCTCTGGCGATCATCATCCCTCCATCATCATTTACGTTGCAGACCAGAAGAAATTTCTCAGGAAATCAGGTTTCGTTTCGGGTTTCGTTTCGTTTCGTTTTGATTTCGGGTTTTGTGTCTCGTCTCCTCTCTTGTATATATTATTTGATTTTTTTTCTATCTATATCTTAACTCCGTCGTTTAGCTTTGTCTATTCACTAATACTTCTTCCCAACACAACAACAACAGTATTTTTACTATAAACAATAACAATAATAACCACAACAACAACAACAATAATATTAATAACATTTAGTAATGGCCGAGAGTTTTGATCCTAACGATACAACAAAATACTTGGTAAGTGTTTAAGTATTAGTATAGTTATATATATATATTTGTATATATATATAAATATGTATATATATATACCAATATTTATATATTATATAAATATTTAATTGACATGACTTGGCCCCGCCCCATTAGAATATTCTGCCGAAGTCAGATTCGGAGAGGGAGTTCGTCGTTCAGCAGATTAAGAACATCTTCTTCCTTAAGCATATGCCAGTGGTTGGTTGGATGAATATTTATGAATGAATGGCTCAATGGATAGATGAATCAGTGAATGAGCAGCAGCTTGGATGGATGAATTAATTGAGTCAACGAATGAGTATATATTCATAATAATATTTATGTTATGAATGACGCTGGGATGAATGAATGTAAGAAGCGTGAAAATTAAAAATGAATGAATGATAGAATGAATGAATGAATGAATGAGGAAATATTTATATCGGTTTTAATTAAAAATTGAGTGAAATGATTTTTATTTTTTCAATCATTCAGTCATATTTAACTGCCATTGCCGATAGCCTATCTGAAAGAAAGGTATGTGACCAATCATTTATTCATTCATTCATTCATTTAATCGTTTATTCGTTCGTTTAATCAACCAATCAATCAGTCGATTGATCAACATAATGAAACATTTTAATATTGTTTATCAACGACTATCATCGAATTATTTTTTGTTCATCATCACCCTCATTACCATTATTATTGTTATTATTATTATTATTATTATTATCATTACCACCACCAGGTATTGGCCAATGAGAACATTTACCAACAGGGTGATATCGGCGATGAATTTTTCATCGTGAAGAGGTCACTAATAATTATAATGATAATTATTTTTATTATAGTAATAATTATTATTAATATTTATATTATTATGACTTAAAAAAAATTTTGATTCGTTCATTTATGTAGCGGAAAATTCGAGGAAATGGCCAACGGATCTAGAGTGACAACTCACGATGATTATGGCTACTTCGGGGAGATGGCCTTGATGTATAATGCCACTAGGAAGACCACCATCAAAGCCACCACTGACGGATTGCTGTGGTTCATGGTTGGTTGGTTGATTAGTTGGTTGGTTAGTTAGTTGGTTGATTGGTTGGTTAATCGAATGTTTGTGTTCGTTTATTTATTGATCTAAGAACGCTACTCAGAAGATTACTGATTGATATTACCTTGGCTTATGATTGGTGGATTGATTGATTGGTCAACTGGCGATTGATTGATTGATTGATCGATTGATCGATTGATCGATTGATCGATTGATCGATTGATTGATTGATTGATTGATCGATTGATTGATTGATTGATTGATTGATTGATTGATTGATTGATTGATTGATTGATTGATTGATTGATTGATTGATTGATTGATTGATTGATTGATTGATTGATTGATTGATTGATTGATTGATTGATTGATTGATTGATTGATTGATTGATTGATCGATCGATTGATTGTTTGATTGATTGATTGATCGATCGATTGATTGACTGATTAGCTGGCTGGTTGTTTTCTTCTCTAGAAAAGGTCGAACTTCAAGCAGCTAATGGCAACGACGGAGCATTTACGGAAGACGGGCTTCATCGAGCTATTGAAGAAAGTTAACATTTTCAAGTACATGACAGTGAGTTTATCATTGCTATTATTATTATTATTATTATTTATAATTATTATTTTCATTATTTACAGGACTTGGAGTACGAAAAGACAGCCGAAGCTTTGAAATACGTAACATATAAAGATGGCGAAGTCGTCGTTAGACAGGTTAGGATGCTGCTGCTGATGTAGCTGCTGCTGTAGCTGCTACTACTACTGCTGCTGACGACGTTGTTGATGATGATGGTGATGTGAGAAGGATGACGTAAATAACGACAATAATAATAATAACAATGACGTCATTATCATCACCAGGGCGACAAAGCGGACTCTCTTATAATTGTCGACGGGGGAAAGGCTAAACTCACCACTATTTCAGACGTTAGAATAATAATAATAATAATAATAACAACATTAATAATAATAATATATTATTATTATTATTATTCGCAGACTTATCCCGAGGGCCACGTTAATTATATCGAGAGAGGCCACTACTTTGGAGGTAGCCCTGTCAATCAATCAATCAATCAAACAATCAATCATTCATTCATTCTTTTTTCTTTCATTCATTCATTCTTTTGTTTAATCGGTCACTCATCCAATTGATCATCAATTAGTTATTTTATCGATCAATCAACCAGCCAGCCATTTATCTAATCAATCGTTTAATCAATCAACCATATGCTATCAATAAACCAACCAATCGACCTAATTACATAATTAATTAACTATAATTAGAGTTGGCATTGCTGTCTGACATTGTGAGGTCTTCTACAGTGACTGCCTTTGGAGATCTGGGTGTCCTCGGTGAGTAGTTTAGTTTTTAATTTGAGTTTATTTCATTATTTTGCTTATTATTCATATGTAATTTTGTTGTGTTAGAGTAATAATAAATTATTTTATAAATATTATGACATTTCTTTTACTTTTCAATCAGTGAAATGTACTTTTTTAATTGTTTTTTTTCGATTTGTCGTCTAATTTTGTTCATTTTTCAATGATTTATTTTATATTTTAAAGATAAATTTAGCATAATTGTATAATTAATGTTGATTTGTAATTGTGGAAATATAACTTTCAAAGTCCTGGAGAAAGAGACCTTCGAAAGGATGGTTGGATCCTGCCAGGAAATCGCCAATAGGATCCCTAAGAAGAATTAAACTCAATTAATTTTATGATATTAATTATTGATTTTAAAATAATTATCTGTTATTAACAATTAATTATCCTAAATTGCTTGTTGGGTTGGTTTTTGTAGTGTTTTAGGATGGCCTTGTACTTTCATTTTGTTCTTAAAGTTTAAGTTTCCTTTTAGTAAATTTTAAAAAGTGGACTTTTACTAGTGCGAAAATTAAAAGATTCAGTTGTGAGTTAATTTAAATGTTAAGTCTTATTTGAAACTTAATTAACTAAGTAAGGTTTTTAAAATTAAGTCATTTAAGAATTTCAAACGTTTTTTACGAAAATTTTTAATGGAGGGCGATCCGGCATTTAAATATAAGGATGTTCCCCTGGTTTTAAAAAAACCTAAAGTTAGGAAAAGTGTGCTGAGCTGTATAAAAAGTTAGCTATTGGCCGTCTTCTGTTTGTTTTTTGTAGATAATGCGAAAATATCTGTCATCTTTTGTTGATTCACCTTAATTTTAATTTACTTTTAGAGTACTAATTTACTAATTTTACAATTTGTTTTTTATGTTTTTATCAAATAAAATGGACAATAATACTATAGTTATATATTATATACTTATTATTAATAGTGCTGGTATTAAATTATTAATTTCATAAATAATTACAATAAAAAGATTGTATTGGCAGAGAAGAATAGTTAGCAATCAATGTAATTAATTATTTATTCAGTGTTTAAGTTTACATTTACTGTCTAATCTCCAAAAATACATTCTTATTATTATTGTTATTATTTTCAGGATTGGAAAATTATAACATCCCTCTTGGTCTACTTTACAGATGTGTCTATGAGAAACTAAAAGTAAAAGTTTGGCTAAGGAGTAGTCACTACGTTAGGAGTTTCTGTACTGGATATATACTGGCTTTTGATTACCATTGGAATCTTGTTAGAGTTTCACTATTTTTTTTTATGATTTTTTCACTTTTAAACTATTCTTTAATCAATTTTATCGAATCATTACCTCATAACTTATGAAGAATTCTATAAATTAATTGATTGTAAATTAAAATAAAAACCAAAAAAATGATAATTTTATATCAGGCCATGGCCGACGTCGATGAAACCTACCTGAACCCCGTCTACGCCTGGAAGTATAAATTTGGGGACGGTAAAAAAAAGATTGTAAATAACGGGGGAAAAACGCCTACCCATGATAATAATGATGATGAATTAGAGGAAGGAGAAATAAAGGATGATGACGAGGACAAAGAAACAGAAGATAGTAGTAAAGGTGCGGCCAAAATCTTGGGTGATGTCGAACCAGTTCAGTATTTAGTTAGACACATTGACCAAATTTTAATACGAGGTGATAACATCGTCATCATTTCAATTGTTAAAGTATCTGGCTCAGATTATGATGCGGCCACTGAATTGTGTAATGTTATTACTTCAGAAGACAATACGCATTCAGAAAATATTATCCAATCAGATGAAGGGTCAAGAAATGTTAGCCAATCAGGTGAATTGCCAGAAAACATCATCCAATCAGATGAAGGGTCTGGAAATATTATCCAATCAGATGAACAACTGCCAGAAAACATCATCCAATCAAATGAAGGGTCAGGAAATATCATCCAATCAGGTGAATTGCCAGAAAACATCATTGAATCAGATGAATTGTTGGAAAATGTCATCCAATTGGACGAATTGCCAAAAAACATTATCCAATCAGGTGAACTGTTAGGAACTATTGTCCAATCAAGTGCATTGCCAGAGTTTATCCATCCAATCGAATCAGGAAACATTTCACATGCACATGCAACCAGCCAACCACCTGTTACTTTGGGTGACACAATGATCGATATTTGGTCCGACGATTTTGCTAGGGGAGTAGAGGTCCCAGAGCCACCAATAACTTGGCCTCCACCACATTTTTCCGGGTTAGATACTAATGAAATGCTTGATATCAGTTTGGGGTCTGATAACTTTAACAATATCTTTGAAGTCACTGGATCACCAAATAAGGGGCTACAAAACATTGCGGGTAGGCAAAATGTCATGGGCCCACAAAATGTCACAGGACATTTGGAGCCTACAAGACCAGGTAACCAATCGCTTCACAATGTCGATCTGCCAGCTATTATTTCGACATCAAAAACCTCTGCCGAGTTGCCTGAGGCTTTAGTGGGGCCATGTGACACCACTGTGCCCCGTGATGTGGCCCCATCGGTAAATGTTACTGCCCTAAATGATGATACTCACGATTCTGGTACCTCTACAAGTACTGGTTTTTTTTTAAACTCAGTGATTCTTAGTGGTTAGCTAGAGTTAATTCGGAACAACTCTAACTGATCATGCATTTCAAGTTGACCCAAGGTCACGGGCGAGGTCAGTAAAGAAGAAAATGTGGGTCTTGTATGAAACTGACGAGGTGTGATGTTGATGAAGATGGTTGTAGTTGCTGCAAATGCTGCTACTACATTTCAAGATCTGAAACATATATCACACACCCTGTTATTGTAATAAATTTATTTGTTTGTGTTGAATGTTTCACTCTGGAATTATTATTATTATTGTTATTTTTGTTATTATTATTATATTATTATATTATTATTATTATTATCACCACCATCATGTTTTCATTGGTCACTTTTGTAAATTCGATTGTATCATCATCTGGATTTGGTCTTCGTCATTAGTTTATGTGAATAATTATCAAGTAGTTATGAAGAGAAAAATTTTGTCTGTCTGGTCTAAGCATTGTACCTTATTTCTCTCACCTTATATTTAAACTTTCCTTTAGATTTCGTAACAAATTTGATGAAAATTCAATCGTACTAACATTCTGAAATTGAAATTCAACATTTTTTCTACGTTTTATTATCGTGATAAACTGTCACTCAACCATCAATCAAACATGTAAATACACGCTTTCGTGTTGGTAGTGTAGTAGTGTTGCACACACACACACACACACACACACACAAAACAACACACACACAAAACAAAACACACAAACAGTGCCACACACGCACATGAATAATACTGTACTGTTCTAAAACAATTTAGACGTTTAACGAGCAAAGCGTAAATTAATCAAAATAAATGAATAATTAATTAATTAATTAAGTATATAAAAATAATATCTATTACCTCATGATATGAACATGTACTTACACGCGTTGTAAACGAATTAATAATAAGCACACACATTCTTCTGTAGTAGTTGAAAGTTTTGAAAAAAAATAAGATGAACCAACGACGGCAGAAAACGAACAAAATTTCAATTAACAAACCAACAAACGTTTGGAGAACACGATTTTAACCCGTGAAAATAACTGAAAATTTTTATTCCAAAATGCGAAATCGAAAAAAGGCACGAATACACACGCCACCAGACAACAATACACACACGCATACACACTAAACATGAACTGACATGTATGCACACGCGTCGTGCGATAAAATCCAAAAACTTTTTCAATAATTGACTTCAGAAGAGGCCCTCAGAGCCCTGGATACTCTCATAGTGGCTATGGCACCATCCGGAGCGACCGAACTGGCTCTACTGCCCTTGCCCCCTCTTAAAAATCCGTAGCCACCGTCAGAGGACATGTCCAGTCTCTCCAGGGCTGTCTCCATTTCTTGGTGCAGTTTTTTGAATTTTGAGAGATTTAGTGAGGCTACTTCTTCCTGTTTTGTTGTTGTTATTGTTGTTGCTGCTGTTGTGTATTGTTTATGTTAATGACGTCATTAGTGTCATGTCACGCGGTCGTTCAATTATTGATTTGTTATGATGGGTCTTTGTCGATGAAATCATCAAAATCTATCGTCCAATCAACTAATGTATTTTATCATTCATTCAATCACTTAACTCAATCAACTAACTCAGTCAATTAACCAAATCAATTAACCAACTCAGTCAATCAATCAACCAATTCAATCAGCCAACTCAGTCAATCAAGCAACCAAATCAATCAGCCAATCAGACAGACCGATTCATCGACGTGTCTCTTATAATTTTTCATCTTGGCATGCAGTTTCTCAATGATATCATGTAGCTTATCATGGTTCTGTCTATCGTCGTCCAGTTGGCTGGCTAACTCTTTCATTCTTCGCTCCTGTCTTCTCATAGCCTTGACCTTCCAAATGATGATGATGAATATGATAATTATAATGGTGATGATAATGTAGTTGATGATGATGATGATGACGACGACAAACAAACCAGCGTTTGTATAAAAAGGAATGTTCATTTTTAATCACCAACCGAGAACACACGCTAAATACAAACTTATCTACTACCTACCTACATACATACCTACATACGGATATACATACATACAAACATACATACAAACATACATACACATTTACATATTTATGTACTTACGGTTTCACTATGCCTATGTTGTTCAGCTTCTAATTCAGATTCCAATTCGTGAATCCGTTGTTCCATCTTTTGTGCAATCCTCTTTGCTAATCAATTATTCAATCAATCAACTAATCAATCAGTCAGCCAGCCAACTAATCAATCAGCCAATCATTAATTAACATTAATGAACTGATTAACATTCACGATCTAATTAACATTCACGATCTATTAACATTCATGATCTAATTAATATTCATGAAGTACCCACCCCCCTGCATGGCGGCGTTCTCTGTCTCCTCGAGCCTGCTTTGAAAATCTTTCAAATGACCTTCCAACGTCCTCTTTGACCTTTCAAGTTGCTCCCCGTGTTCTTGCTCCTGCCTCAATTCGTCTGCTAGTCTGTGTTTGAGCGTACGTGCGTGTGTATGCGTGCGTGCGTATCAGAAATAAAAGGAGAGAGAGAGAGAGAGAAGGAGAAAAAGTGAAGAAAAAAGAAAGAGAGAATGTGTGTATGTGAAAGTGATGCAAATTAATAATGAGAGAGAGAGAGAGAAAGAGAGCGAGAGAGAGAGAGGGTAATGGATAGTAATTTATTGGAAGGTTCGTCGAACCTCGAAGCATCAGCAGCAGATTTCTTCGCCCTCTCCTCCAAACTTCTCATGTCCCCTGTCCTCTCCGATAGTTCATTCTTTTGGAAAGAAAAAAAAACAATAGTGACATCAACTACAACAACGACGACAGCTACAACAACAACGACAGCTACAACAACAACAACGACATCAACCACAACAACGACAGACGTGCAGGGCTTGTATCTCAGCTTCTAATTTTCTCTTTAGGTTAACCAGGGTTGAGTTGGCGTTGGAAGCGTCGGCCACCCTTTCAACCGCCTCGTGGAGTTCACCCTGTATGACCTTTATACATATTAGTTAATTAATTAATTAATTGTGACCTAATTACATAAATTAACGTACTGTGACCCAATTAAACAAACTGCAGATCGTTCAAAATAAAATTTTTTATTTTCTCATTTGGAGTCTCCAAACCATCATCCCAGTCATCATCGTCATCCTTCATCATCATCATCATCACCGAACGACCTTGAACTCTTTATCGGCGGCCTCGAGATGCGCCCTCAAATCCTCAACCTCCATCGTCAGTGAGGCCACTTTTCGTTCGGCAGCTGCCAGTTCTGCTCTGGCTTCTTGAGCGTTCTGGTGAATGAATGAATGAATGAATGAATGATTTAACAAATAAGTAAATAAATGGATTAATAAATAATTCATTCATTCATTCAACTCATTCATCCATTCATTCATCCAACTAACCTGTTGTTCCTCTTCCAGGAGAGCCTGCAACTCTTTGGTCTGTTGGTGAAACCTTTTGAAATTTTTTTCAACATCCACACGAGATTTGTTGCTACCTTCTAAGGCCGCTTCTAACTCCACTACGTCTTGCTCCAATTTCTTTTTGTATCTGTTGGTGTTGTTGTTGATTTTGTTGTTGATGTTGTTGTTGATGTTGTTGTTGATGTTGTTGTTGTTGTTGATGTTGTTGATGTCAAACTCGTTAGTGATAGTAGCATTTAATGTAGCTGTTACTGCATTGTTTGTAGCAAGACAATCACATCCAAATATATTACACTGCAAATATATTACATATCAATTACAATTTCATTACGATTACATTACATTACCTAGAATTACGATTTCATTACATTGCATTACAATCACGTTACATGCATTACCTAAAATAACAATTTCATTACGTTACATTACATTACAATTTCATTTTATTACAATTTCATTACATTACATTACAATACAATTTCATTACATTACATGGCAATTTTATTACATTACATTACAATTACGTTACAAAACAACTCGCCTTAGGAGCTCGGTTTTCGATCTAACCTCACTTTCGAAACCCAACTGAATGTCTTCCAGGGTTCGCTGATGGTTTTTTCTGGAAGGATGATGACGACGACGACGATGAAGAAGAAGATGATGATGACGATGACAATAATGACGATGTAAAAGAAGATTACAATGGTAACATATTCAAACAGAAGAATCCACCTACCTATTCTTTTTTCATTCATTCAATTACTCATCCGTCCGCTCAATCATTCATTTGTTCAATACTTCATCATTCATTTACTCATTAATTTATTCACTCACTCATTCATTCATTCATTCATTCATTCATTCATTCATTCATTCATTCATCCATTCATTCATCCATTCTTTCAACTACCTCAGCGTATCAAGTTCTTCATCTTTTTCGGCTAACTTCTTCTCATAGTCAGCTTTCAGTCCAGCTAAATCAACTAAGGACCGCTGAGTCTTAGCTGTCTCTTGCTGCAGCAATATGTGGCTATCTTCTAGCTTAGCTTGTAAATCTTCTCGCTCTAATTCACCTTTTTTAGCCATTTTTTCGATTTCTAAGACGCGCTTGTTTATCTCGGCCAGTTGGTCGGTTAGATCTTGAATTTCATCTGGTTGGTTGGTTGAGTGATTGGTTGGTTGAGTGATTGGTTGGTTGGTTGATTAAGTTTGTTGATCTGTTTGATGGTTGATTAAATTTGTTAACTGTTGAGCTGAGTGTGGTTTCTTATATAAAAATTTTTTCCTTTGAACCAGCCAATCAAAATCAACCATTCGACCACACAGCCAATCACAATCAACCATTCGACCACACAGCCAATCCAACAATCAATCACACTGTGCGAACCATTCAATCGTTTGTTATCTTTCTTCTGATTTTCGATAATATCTGCACTCTCCTCAACCAAACATCTCATCCTGTCAATTAATCATGAAATGAATGAATGAATGAACCGCAAATGAATCAATCAATCGATCCGTCAATCAAATAATTAATTAATTAATTAATCAAGAAATCAAAAATTTACAAGACAACCACATGCCGACATAAATACATTTTCAATCCAAACAAACAAACAAACAAACAAACGCCTTAAAACAAACGAACGAACACACACACACACAAACATACAAACACACATACTTTTGGACTTCCATTGAATGTTGCTTGTCATCTTTCTGGCACTTCTCCAAATCACCTTGCAACTCCAGGACCCTTTTCTTCCACTCATCGCATGCCTTCTCCAACTGCCTCAACTTTTTTTCAAGCTGTAGACTTATCGACTGAGACTGTTTTTGTTGCGTGCGTGTGTCGTATGAGTGTGTGTGTATGTGTGTGTGTTGTATGTGTGTGTTGTATGTGTGTGTGTGTGTGTGTGTGTATGTGCGTTCTTCTTATTTTTTATAACAACAACAACATCAACAACGACAACAACATCCTCAACAACGAAAACAACCTTTTCGAGATCACCAGCAACAGCTTCCAACTCGATCTGAAGCCTGGATTTAACTTTCTCAACAGTTAACAGCTTGGAAAGAGCGGCCTCCAGTTGCGCCTCACTGTCCTGAATTTTCCCGCCTAGCTTTCGCCTAAGATCCTCGAGCTCTTCCGGCTGAACTCCGCTGTTCTCCGCCGAGTCTAGCTTCTGTCGAAGAGCTGAATTTTCGTTTTGAATTTTTACTAGCTGTCGTTGAATGTCCGCCTTACTCAGCTGCTCGTCTTCTAGTTTCTCCTTAAGTTGGTCTACGTTTGTCTGTGTGTGTGTGTGTGTGTGTGTGTGTGTGTGTGTGTGTGTGTGTGTGTGTGTGTGTGTGGAGGTGATTGTTCGGTTGGTATAAAATAGTGTCGTGGTAAAATTATGATAATAACAAATAAAATTATATGAATATTCATTAATAGTTTTTAAAACAATAAGTAAAACCGCCACCTGGAGAACTTTGAACTCTGCTTGAACTTTTGACCTCAGTTGACCTTCGTCGTCTAGCATTAACCTACTTTCATCCAACTGCTGGGTCAGTGATTGTTTCATTCTCTGCAATTGGCTGACCTAGAAAAAATGAATGAATGAATGAATAAACGAATGAAAGAATAAATAAGTAAATAAAATGAGTGGATGAACGAATTAATAAATGAATGAATTAATCAATGAACTGACGAACGGAAAATGAACAAACGAATGAACCTGTGTCTCCAGTTCTTCAACTCTTCTCATTAAATCAGCGTTACTACTTTGAAACCTTATTATTATTATTATTATTATTATTATTACTATTATGAGTAGTAGTAGTAGTAGTATTATTAAATATACCTGGCCCTTTGTTGAGCTGATTCGTTAAGCTCTTTTTGTAGATCGGCTATCTGATTTTTAAAATTACATTAGGATTGAAAGACATGAATGAATGAATGAATGAATGAATGAATGAATGAATGAACGAATGAATGAATGAATAAGTGAGTGAATTGACGTAATCTTAAAGCCACCTTTCCATTATATTCACCAGCCTGCAGTTCCATCTGCTTGTTCATTTTTTCTAGTGCCAACTAGAATCAAAAAAATTTTCTTCATTAAAAACAATCCGTCATACATTCATCCATCCATCCATCCATCCATCCATCCATCCATTCATTCATTCATTCAGCCACCCGACCTTATTTAATTTGACATTATTCTCTAGTTGGGCAGTCAGCTCGTCCACTTCATTTTTCATTTGGTTTTTCTCTTTATCAGATCTATTATTATTTATGATTATTATTATTTATTATTATTATTATTTATTATTATTATTTATTTATTATTATTATTAATGTTGTTGTTGTCATTCACATGCACACATACTCAAACAAACATACACGGAAGAACACACGTACATATCTCTCATAACTCTTCCCAATCTTCTCTATCTAATATAATGTTAGCATTAGAGTGGATCGGAAATTGAAATTCCTTCTCAATTCCCTCCCATTTTGTCCCGATTCCCTCCGGAATCCCCATTTATGACAACGTTCCCGAGTTATGAATTAAGTTTTAACAATTTTCATGGGACTCCCATGGGAGTCCCGCGATACCCGTTCCCATGCTCACCTCTAGCTAGTATCAACATTATTATCTACATTTGCGCAAAGTTACACATACACAAAACATACAAACAAAAGCCACCACACACGCGAACGCACACACGCGAACGCACACACGCGCACACACACACACGCACATACACAAAGAAAAACGGAAACTAACTTCTGTTTGGCCCTCTGCAACATTTCTATCTGCTCGGCGCACTCGCTCAGGGCATCCTGCTGCTTCCTTCTAAACAAATTGACCTGCGTCTCAATTTGAGCTTGCGATTCTTCCAGATCTTTCTGCAACTTCTGGATTTCAATGTCCTTCTTTCTGATAACTTCAGCCCCTGTGGCCGCGTTCCCTACGCCTCCAGCCGTCGCCTCTTCAAGATGCTCGGTCAAGATTTCTAGCTCTCGTTGCATTTCGGTTTTTTGTTTTTCAGCCTGTTTTTTGCGAATTTGTGTGTGAGAGTGTGTGCGTGTGTGTGAGTTTTGGGGATGTTTGTGTGTGGATGTCTGTGTGTGGATGTCTGTGTGTGGATGTTTGTGTGTGCGCGTGTGTGATACATTAATTTATTCAGATGACATTAAGATAATTTATTAATTTATGCGTCCGTGTTTCAAGTTATTCAATCCATGCCTACCCATTTCCTGGCCGATCGTTCTGCTCGCAACTCTTCCTCTAGTTCTTCAGTCCTTCTCTTATTGGATGAATGAATGAATGAATGGATGAATGGATAGATGAATGGGTATTCAACATAAGAGGTGTGATTTCCTATAAGTGTGGCTTCTCGTGTGACGTCTCGTCACCATAAGTATCATTAGAACAAACAAATGAAAGACCAAATAAATGAACGAATGATTATTTCTAAAAAAATTAACAAATAAAGTAATGAATGAATATATGAATGAATGAACGAATGAGCAAACGAATAAACTAAATGAATTAATGACTGAAAGAATAAATAAAATAAATGATAGATAGATATAGATGAATAAAAAAATAGATAGATGGTTGAATGAATTTAAAACGTTCCAAAAGATAACAAACCTGATATACACTGTCTAGATCAGACATGTTAATGAATTATAGAAAGACGAAAGAAATATTGTTGTTGTTTTTGATGTTGTTGTAATTGATGTTGCTGTTGTTGATGTTGTAATTGTTGTCGTTGTTGATGTTGTTGTTAACGCCGTTATAGTTCTAAACTAAATATTGAGCTGTAAAATTAATATATAAAATCAACCAATCAATTGTAAAATCCAATCAATCAATCAATCAACCAACCAACCAACAAACCAACTAATTCATTCAATCAATCAGTCAACCAGCTAATCTATTCATTTAATCAATCAATCAACCAGCCAACCACCAACCTACCAATTATAGATGAATACAACGGAACGAAAGATGGAACAAAAAATCCAACACAAAACGTGGAAGAGATATAGCTAGCTATTACTGAAAATAAATAAATGGATGAATGAATGAATGAGTGAATGAATGAATGAAAGAATGAGTGAATGAATGAATGAAAGAATGAGTGAATGAATGAATAAATAAAATTAAGTATGAACGAAATCAAAATTAGATTAAAAAATTGATTGTTTTAGGAAAGAAATGACACCGAAAACCACAACAACATAATAATAACAATAACCAGAAAATTAATTATATAACAACAATAATAATAATCAAACTATAATAATAATATTTAAACTATTTAAAACCAAAAATATAAAACCTTATAAGTTGTATAACTTTTTTCCAAGCTAATCATTACAATTCATACATGCATTGTACATACGCACGTACATACATACGTATATACATACATACATACATACAATACACACATACATACATATATACATACGTACATACATACATACATGCACAATGAGCATCTCATATTAAGAAGTTTGATCTTTTGCAACAGCATTCTATTAAAGGCCTTGAAGCAATGTATGTATGTATGTATGTATGTATGTATGTATGTATGTATGTATGTATGTATGTATGTATGAATGTATGAATGTACGTAAGTGTGCATAGATGTATGCTATTTGTATTTTCATGCTTTGCATGTTTAATACGTAGACTTTCATACACATATTTTATATTGTTCAATGTGTGTGTGTGTGTATGTATGTGTGTATGTGCGTGTGTGTATGCTTCAAGTGGTATTGTTGTCAGTTGTTTTTGTGTAGAAGATAACATGGAGGAGTAGATGGCTTTCATCTTTAAGCAGGGATAACAAAATAAAAACAACAAAAAACGAAAGCAGAAATAAACTCTTTGTTTTTATTCAATTTTAAAATGAACGAATTATTTATTCATTTGTCTTTTTTTAATTTTTAAATTTACTTCCAAAAAAATCGAGTTAAACATTTACTCTCATAAATAATATAACCAGGCAATCAGTCAATCAACCGTTCCGTGCACTATTAAACCAACATTCAACATTTAATCAACCAATCAATCAACCAACCAACCAATCAACCAGTCAGTCAGTCAATCAATCAATCAATTAGTCAGTCAGACAGTTAGTCAATCAATCAATCAATTAATCAGTCAGACAGTTAGTCAATCAATCAATCAATCAATCAATCAGCCAGCCGACCAATCAAACCACAGCTCTCTTTTCATCGCCATCTCCATCATCGTCGTCATCATCTTTGCTTCTCTTTCTGCCTTCTGCATCATCCGACTCCTCGGCGGCAGCAGCACTAGCTGACGACAATGACGTCATCCCTAATTTTCCGGACTTAGTACCAGCCCCCTCCTTGGCCACGGTAGGGATGGGTAAAATGGTGACGTCATCCACATGGAACATTTCCTTCGAAGGCGGGCAGGTGAGGATGATTTTCGCGAAGAGGCCACCAGCTGTGGTTAATAATAATAACAACAATAATAATAATAATAATAAATAATAATAGATAATAATAAAAATAATAAGTGACCCGGTTTGATGAGAGAGACGGACTGCAAGACTGCCTTCACGTTTTCCAACAGCTGTTCATTCGTCATGCTTAACTGGATGAATGGACGTATGGATGAATGGATGGATGGATAGAAGAAAGAAGGAATGAATAAATGAATGGAGGAATGAATGGATGAATGAATGAACGAATGAATGAACGAGAGAACGAATCAATCAGTCACATTCAACAAAACTCACTTTGCCAATTGGAAACGTAAACGTCCCAATAGCATCTGAGAGCTTGCTGCCTAGAAAAATTAAAAAGTAATAGTAATAGTAATATAAATAATAATAATAATAATCATCATCATCATCATCAACAACAACAACATCATCATCCTCATCATTTTTTTCTACCTTGATATTCTTTGCCGTCAGCATACAGCTTGACCATGCCCTCGACATCAGAGCCGAGATTGCCTGGAGTGAGTGAACGAGTGAGTGAATAAACGAATGAATTAAGAAGTGAAAAAATAAATGAATGTTTGATTGAATGAATAAACGAATGAAAAAATGAATGAAAGAACAAATGAATGAAAAAATGAACGAATGAAAGACGAAAGAACCATTTTTCTTGGTAGGAAATTGATCTTTCAGGATTTTTTTAAGTATGGCTGCCTCAACCAGCATGTCATTGTTCAGAACCACGTGATCATAATCCTCTCCCTTTATCTCCCCTCTCTCTAACTGGAGAAACAGTGATGAATAAAGTGAGAGTAGGGCTAAAGTTAATTTATTCACGAATGTTAATTTATTCATCAGCTGACTGACCTTTCTGATAAGGTCAAGGCTGCCGGTGTATGTTGCCCCGGCTGCTTCAGCTTTGCTCTTGTCCTCATCTGTCTATCATAATTTATTATTACAATTAATTATGACGTAATTATGTATCCATATTATAGATATGTAATTAATTAATTTATTTATTTATTATTCAAATGTGTATTTGACTCAACTAAAACGAACCAATAAAAAATAAACAACTATTGAAAATATTTTCAACCAAATAGGCAATCAGCAAAAGTAAAATCCCATCAACCAATCAACAATCGATAAAAAATTATCCACCAATCAAAAACAACAAATGGAAATCAGTCAACCAATCAGTAATCAACAAAAGAAACGTTAACCAATCAGAATAAATAGGAACCTTGGTAATGGCAATAACTCTACCAGGAAGAAAGTTATCAAAATTATGAGGAAGCAATATAATGCCCTCTGGTGCACCCAAAAACTTTGTCTGAAAATATCATAAAAATATTTATTTATTCATATTTTTAAATTAATTCAATTATTTATTTCATGATTAATTCATCTATCCATTTATCCCTTCATTTGTTTGCTCCAAAATTCATTCACTTATCATTTCATGTATTCATTCATCATTCAATCATTTATTCATCTGTTCATTTTTCAAAAATTCTAAAAATAAACCAAAAATGTAAAAACCAAAAAACTCAATAACTTTCTTCTTTGTGGTCAAGTCAAGCTCCGCCTCTAAGATAACCACACCCTCCATGTTATCAATCATCTCAGGACTTGCAAATTCCCTGTGTCTATTTATAGCTTCCAAAAAACTAAACTTGGCAGTCGGGAAGTATCGAGTGTTCCAAACGTCATCTGGTGCAGGTTTGTCGGACTTCTCGTCTGGAGGTACTTCTTCTGTGATCTTTGGTCTGGAAGGTGACGATGATAATGATTAATATTCAACCAATCAATCAATTACTCACTCACTCAGTCAGTCAACCAACCAATCAACCAGTCAACCAATCAAACAACCATTACTTTATTCTTTTGAACTCCTTGACAGCCTTCTCCTTAGGAACAGGCGGAAGCTTGTACCTCGACGATGCCTTGCTGTTCTTATATCGAACTTGTACGTATTGATGATGACGATGGTGGTGACATTGTGAAGAAGATGATAAAGATGATAAAAACGACGACGATGATGATGATAGTGATGAAGAAGACGATCTTGATGATGATGTCAATGTCAAAGGTAATAATGTCGATGAGGGTATGATTATTACATTTCTAATCATCTGATGATGATGATGACTCTGCAGTGCCACGATGCCTAAAAAATTAAACAAGAATGAAAGCAATTATAAAAAATTATAAAATAGTGACTATTAATAGTTAATACTAAATAAATTATTTAAAATAATTTAATATAAATGATGGAAATTAAACTAAATGCACTACTTTGAAAAAGTTCAATTTGAAAAAAAACCAAAAGCAAAATAAAAATGTTAATAAAAAATAAAAATTCATTGCAGGAAAGAAAAAACTTTTGAAGGGAAGTAGAACACTGCCGCCACACTTTTTCCATGGGCTGAAAAACATTTTAATTTCTTTAATTTAAAAACTAAATAATAATTATTAATATTAATGTTAATTAGATTTAATTTATTTATTTTTCCGCAGACTAAATGATTTAAAAAAAGCTAATTGAGCGATATTTTAAAATATCAACAATGCTGCTTAAAAGTAAATTTAACACTAGCAAAGAACAGGGATGAAAAACTTTTTTGGATTTTATTTCAATTACAGTTAATGTAATCAATAACGTTAATTATGGATTAAATTGATAACATATAATAATTAATAAATTTATTTAATTGATCTAATTATAAAATATATTAAAGCTGATCAAAATATACTCAATTATAATCACGGTAATAGAGCATATAAATCCACTCATACAAACAAACACACACATACAAACACAAACTCACACAAACACAGATAAACACATACACATACAAACACACACACACACACATACATATATATATATACACACATCTCATTACCAAATAGTTATACTACAGCTATTGATTTAAACATCCCATTACACTTATAGTTTACATTCATATTAATGTTATTATTATTATTTTTATAATTATTATAATTATAATAATTATTATTATTATTATTATTTATTATTATTTTTATTAATATTTTATTTATGATTATTTTTATTATTATAAAACCAATCAATTCAAACACACACAATTATTTCGATAACTCGTAAAAATATCAACTAAACACATATATATATATATACACACGTAATAACACACACACACATATATATACACATACACATACAAACAAGAACCCATTTATACAAACATACACATATATACCCATATACATATATACAAAGACCCATTCATTTACATACATACTTACATACATACATATATACATACATACATACACACAAACTAACACATACACACACTCAGAAACCATCACAAGATACACGAATTTTTATATTACAAAAATTGTATTGTACGCGAAAACATAAAAAAATAATATTTTTAGAAAAAAAAAAATACAATCATGCACAAATAGCAGTGAACATACACACGCAGGTACACACACACACACACATACACACACACACACACACACACACACGTACATACAAACATACACACACACATATACATACATATATATATATATACGTACATACGCAAATACATACACACACTCACATACAATACATATACACATACATCCATACATACATACATGCATACACTCTTCATGAATCCATATACACATCAACATATATACATTGAGGAATTAAGCTATACAAATATTTATTCTACGTACCTACCTACAAACACAAAACACACACAAACAAGCACATACATGCAAATATATACACAAATATCTAAACAGACAAACACACCCATAGACGAAAAATTGTT